TACGGGTCGCTCAGGAGTTTGTTGTATTGTAATTTGGGTTCTGCGTTAGGCTTCTTTAGTTTCCGTAGTTTCACTCTTAATTTACATATAACAAGGAGATGGTCACTTCTGCAGTCGGCATTTGGGTAGGTTTTGCAGTGAACTATTGCATTCCTGAGTCTTTTGTTGATAGTTATGTACTCCATTTGGTTTTTAGTTTCTCCTGGGCTCCTCCATGTCCTTAATCATCTCAGATGTTCTTGGAACCATATGTTGGCTATTGGATATTGGCCGTGAACCACTGGATCCATTTTTCTCCACGTTCGTTGCGGGTTCCTAGTCCGAATTTTCCGGCTGTATCCCCTGCCCTCTCCCTGCTTACTTTAGCGTTTCAGTATTTCATGATATTTATGACTTCTTGTGATTTGCAATGAGCCTTGGCATTGTCTAGCATGGAGTAGAAAGATTCGATTTCTCCTTTCTTACTTTGTGCTGTCGGTGCGTACACTATTATGATAGCTACCTTGAAAGGCTTTCCTTTCAGATTGACTACCAGAATTCTTTCGGATAGTTGGTAGTATCCCAGAACGCATTTCTTAAATACTTTATCTAGTATCAATCCTACTCCTTTATCGTTTTTCTAACCGCCTGCATAGATAATCCTGTGCTTATCGTTGACAAAAACTCCGTTTTTTGGCCATCTGGTTTCACATACACCTATGTTGATTTTTAGCCTGCTCATCTCGTCTCCCATAATCTAACTGGCCGCAGTTGTTCAACGTCCGAACGTTCCATGTCCCGAGTGTTATCGTCACAGTCGCAAGATAACGGTCTGGTGACACCTGTCGGTCATGTCGTTCCTTTCCGGGCGAGGGATAGGTTCCGAGGAATTTTAACCCCTTTATACCGTTTACGCTAGCACCCACTGGATGACGGTCAGGTGACACCTTTTGCACATGTCTGTCTTTACAAGGCGAGGAGTTAATTCCCATAGACTTAACCCTCTTCACGCCGTTAGGCTTCACATTGTGTGTTATTAGCCATGATCTTGGGATTAATAGTGAACTGGTTTCCCGTTGCCTTCTCTACGGTGGTTTATGGAGACACCACCTCCAGTTAGCTGGCCATTATGCCTATTCATTGTTAATCTATGTCTATTAAGTCTGTTAAGATCTATCTATCTATCTATCTATCTATCTATCTATCTATCTATTTTCAGTTTGATTACGTTTATGCATCTAAGTCTGTTTGCCTTTTCTCTGTATCTATGATTAACTACTTACATCTATCTGACGCTCTTCATCCCCCTCTCTCTCTCTCTATATATATATATATATATATATATATATATATTCAAGCAAAACAAAAACCGTTGGTGGATACAACGGGCAACTTACCATAGTCTAAACTCTTATCCAGATACAGTCTTAAATAAAGACGGCATAACTTAAAAAGAAGGAGAATGAAAAGCCTAATGGAAAATCTACGTCTTCAGTAAAGTGCTCGAATCCCAGATTGCCTAGACCAACCCCCCTCAAAAAAACGCTTACCAGCATTAAATCCTATAAAAGAATGGTTCTAGCCGCAACTCGAGTTTCATGCTCGCGCGATCTTCAGACAATTCCATTCAGGACGATAAATGTTATTAATACTGTTTATTATAAACAGAAAATTTAAGCATGGAACAGACTGTCGCCACTGGGTGTTGACTTCAATAGTCGATTTTACATATATATATATATATATATATATATAAGACATTTTTGTGTTTATACATTCTTTTTATAGTCACAAATATTTAAGTAAATTCATTGTTTATAATAAACAGTATTAAACAACATTTACCAGCCTGAATGTCCGAGAAATTTTCACAGAAAATATTCATCCTCCGACGGGATTCGAACCTGTATTCTATACGGAGCCGTTATTTAGCTTGATTCTTCTATGAATCTCTCACGTATGAATTCATAGAAGATTGCAGTTTAAAGACAGTAAAATCGGCCTTGCTAACCGAACGCTCCTCTGTGGCCAAATCCGTTAAAGGCACGTCAAGCTAAATGACGTGTTCCGTATAGGATACAAGTTCGAATCCTGTCGGAGGGCGAATATTTTCTGTGATAATTTCTCGAACATTCAGGCCGGTAAATGTTGTTTAATACTGTTTATTATAAACAATGAATTTACTTAAATATTTGTATCTATAAAAAGAATGTATAAACATAAAAATGTCTTAAAATAATTGTCGGACTTTGTCCATTTCATAATATCTTTTTTCTATAAATACTATCATGATTATTGACCACCGACCTTCTGGAATAACCTCCTTACTCATCCCCCCTTTCTCTGTGTGTTTCGTTTTCTCCATGTTCAAGAAGGTCATCCAGAGGACACGTTTACCGGTCGTGAAAGACATCAAGAGGGCCGTGACGACGGAGCTGCGAAGAATCCCGGGGAATCCTTCCAGGAGTTCATGGAGGCGTGGCAGAAATGGATGCAAAAGTGGATTAGACTCGAGGGCGATAATTTGGAAGGGGAAAACTTATAGCTTGTATCTGTTTATATTTCTCAAGGACAACTAGCGCAGTGGATAAAACCACTGGTTGGATCAAGTGACTTAACGCAAAGAGTTCTGAGTTCGGTACCTGGTTATTGCAGTGGTGAACACAAATCTTTGAGAGTTGAATTAAAGCGTGATAACTGACACATCTAGAAGGGGCATGACACGTGGAACTAGAACAATCTACACCGGTGGACAAAATAAAGGGTTCAGTTCTAAATTTCTGTCATCTAAAGAAGGCCGGAGCATAAAACGACCGAAACGTCGGGAATATGGCAATAAACATAAGGTCAACCGATCGAAAAATATAAATAATTTAAATCAGTTGTAGTTTGTAGTTTGGATTTGACATAAACATTTTTGAGACTTCTGTCCAGTTTCTTTTCTGACACACCTTATGTATGTGTGTGTGTGTGTGAAATATGTATATATAAATATAAATATTCATATAGCGCAGTACTTATTGGAAAGCGCTTAATATCAATGATAGAGTTAACTTATTTATTTGAATTGAGGTGAGTTTGTGACCCTGGGTTTTACGCTCTTTGCGATCGTCAGACAAAGTCTGTCTGACGATCGCAGAGAGCGTGAAATCCAGGTCACAAACTTATATCAATCCGATTATATATACATGTATATATATATATATATATATATATATATATATATATATATATATATATATTCTATCATTCATATATATATATATATATATATATTCTATCATTCATATATATATATATATATATTCTATCATTCATATATATATATATATATATGTGTGTGTGTGTGTATATATATATATATATATATATATATATATATATATATATATATATATAATGAATGATTTGCTGATAAAATTCCAACAAATTACACATACATATATACATAGGAGTAATAGATAGCGACTTGGACTGAGGAATCGGAGAGCCGAGCTCGAATTCCATTCGAATCCATTACATTCACTTACGTGCTAATACCCTTGGGAAAGGTGTGATTCCTCTTCTACCTCCAGCTATGGGTAAATAGCAGGACAGACTGGGTTCTATAGCCTTGGATGGCAACTGGTCTAGGAGAAGGACAACTCTGAATTCGAAACCTGCGGAGGATCGTTTGGGGACCTTGTGGCATGTAGTGCACCAGGTCTCTGTATTCGGCCCTTCAAAAAGTGTGGAACGAAACGTTCACCACTATAATCAAATCTCACGTGCTGTTGTCGGTCTGTCGGTTTCCTTTGAACTGATCTGCTTGACCCTCATACTAGTTTACCTATGCTATCAATATGGCGACACGTTAAATTCTAACATTAGAGCTTGATATGACGCTAAAGAAAATCAAGCTAACATGAAAGAACTATTTCGTGACATTAATCCATTTAATATCCTCCAATTTCTTGGGGAAATCAAACTGTATTCTAAAATACAACTTCAACAAAACTACAACATAACACACATATATCACTGCCTCTTGTAATTATGTCCACACAAACACGTATATATACACAAAAGCAGAGTATCATCTACCATATATTCAATTGTGAAAGCAGAATAACATATATCATATTTTATTACTCCAAAGCTCACAAGAAAATTAAATTTCGGCATTAAATAACCCATCAGTAGTTGATATGCCATTGAATAGACAAATCAATCAACCAATCAAAAAACAAATGTCAAATTTGAAATTGTTTTTACATCATTGTTATCCTTTTACGAAAACTGATTTCTTTTTTTTATTTTACGAAAAAAGAAATAAGTAAAGAAGAAACGGGTATATGCTCTTTTATTAATTTTATTTAAAAAAAATATATATATTTTAAACAAGCAATTGTTTGGCTAAATACAAGTTTCATATTTTTTTTTCTTGAAAAGATTTTCTGTCATTAAAGATTTCATCGGAAACGCGTCACACGAAAACTCTTTTCCACTTTGTTAGGCATTCCCCCAATATTGTTCTTGATATATAAACATATATATCGTTAGCTCATGCCATTAAAGAACAAACAGATGCATACATTCTTATAGTTGTGCCCCATTTTTAATTAAAGAATAAAAAATATGCATAAATTAACAAAAGTACAAAAAATATGTAGGCATCAATGTTCAAATTCAGGTCGGGTTCGTTACATTACTTTACGCATATTTCCCTAGGAAAGATATGAATCCATCTTTCATCTACCCAGGTATGGGTTAAATAGTAGGATTTGTATCATTGTGATTCTCAAAAAACTGTTAGTGCAATATTCACTGGAAGAAAGAAGAATTATTATTACAATCCACATTATGTGTCGGCTTTAAATAAACAACGGGGGAAATAATTTGACACTGACACGGCGTATTGAAGTCAAGTGGGAAATAGAAAAGCAACAATTAATCTACCTAGCTTGTGTAAATGGATGGCAGGACAAGAATGGATAAGGAAAAGGGACAGAATATTGCAAGGAGCGACAAAGGACGGGAAACTATAGAGAACCATGATCGCCTAGCATCTGAAAAAACACGGCACAAAGAAGAAGAAAGAGGAGGAAGTAGGTGGAGGAAGATAGAGGAAGAAAAAGAAAGAGGGGGACACGGAATAAGAAGGAGGAGGAAGAAGAAGGAGGAGGAAGAAGAAGAAGGAGGAGGGTAGAGGAATAAGAAGGAGGAGGAAGAAGAAGAAGGAGGAGGGTAGAGGGAAGAAGGAGGAGGAGGAAGAAGAAGAAGGAGGAGGGTAGAGGAATAAGAAGGAGGAGGAAGAAGAAGAAGGAGGAGGAAGAAGAAGAAGGAGGAGGGTAGAGGAATAGGAAGGAGGAGGAGGAAGGAGAAGAAGAATCATGAGGAGGAGGATGAAGGAGAACAAAAAAGACGGAGGGGGAGGAAGAAGAAGAAAAAGGAGAAAGTAGAAGAATGAGGAGGATGAGAAGGAAGAAAAGGGAGAAAGAATAAGCACAAGAAGGAAGAGGAGGAACAAAAAGACAGAAGAGGTGGAGAAACAAGGAGAAAAATGGGGAGTAGGAGAAAAAAGAACAAGGAAAAAGAACAAAAAGGAGGAAAAAGAAGGAGGAGGAAAAGAAGAAGAAGAAGGAAGAGGAGGAGGAGGAAGAAAAAGACGGAACAGGTGGAGAAACAAGGAGAAGAATGAAGAGGAGGAGGAGAAAGAAGAACAAGGAAGAAGAAGAAGAAGAAGAAGAAGAAGAAGAAGAAAAAGAAGAAGGAATATCAAAATGAAGAAGAAGAAGAAGAAGAAGAAGAAGAAGAAGAAGAAGAAGAAGAAATCTTAAGTAAACAACGTAAAAATCTCTCCGCGAGAAACTGAACTTGCATCTTTTGCCCTTGGGAGCTTGTCTAACCATCATTCCTCCGTTACTGGCTTCCCGTCTCCAGCCGCTACAACGCAGCTATTCTCAATTCACATTTAACTGTTTATAATAACGATTTAAGAGTTGTGATAAATAGCAACATTAATAGGATGAAAGAAAAACCAATTAGAACTTTATAGTCAAAAATATATTAATACATATTATATTCAATCTGAGATCAGCATACAAATCTACAGTACCAAATAAAAAAACTATGAAAATGAAATTGGATACATAAGACAAATTGCTGGCAGAAACTAAAACGAGGCTTAATTATTACTGCGCACGCGCGGTGGGATTGATGGTTCTCGAATCCTTTCATGCAAAAACAGAAAGAGATTTAAACAAGACTTGAAGAGTACGTCTTCATATAGGAAGGGGCGACTAGGGAATGCAGCAGCTCCTGAAAATTAAAAAAAAAAAAAATAACAAAAAAACAAACAAAAAAAAAAAACTAAAAATTTCACGGCCACTTGAACGGTTTAGCGAACCCCTAGGAAGGAAAACGTCATATGAGTCAAAAAAAAACCGTTGAGCTGTATCGTGGCGCGAAGTTAAAAAAAATGTCGATAATCTGCACGCAAAGCAAGGAATGAAGGAACACGCTGTGCGTAACTATCTTCCTTCAATATGCCTTGCCTCATAACGCTCGCGGTCAACTGTAGAACATCGACCATAATCGTTTACGCTTTAGCTTTCGTCAACCAAACGCAGGCGCCAACGGCCAGAGACCCTGGAGATTTATACTAGGGAATACGTTAATAATCATACGATTAAACAGTTCAAACAAAAGTATTTTTTGTACATGATTCAAAAACGTTATTTCTTTACTGTACTATTTATAAAGCGGTAAATAGCGATTCGGATTGAGGAATCGCAGAGCCGAGTTACTTACGTCCTAATAATAACCTTGGGAAAGGTATGAATATTTTTCTTCTCCCCAAGCTATAGATAAATAGCAAGACAGACCAGGTTGTATAGCCATGGATAGCAACTGGTCTACCGCAAAACGAAAAGGCAACCTACTGCCGGAAAAAAAAATTTGCATCGTCAGTTATGTATCAAAAGATACAGGATCGCCTAAGCGTGTATTACGCATGGTACATAACTAACTATTGTATGTCGGCTTTAAATACGAGGTGAGGCAATTTCATTCTCGGAATGACCACAAAATGTAGCTGAAATCATTAAACAAACATTTTGATCTGTGCACTGATTGCCGAGCAGTAGAGGAATTAGTACGTCTTCGCGTTATATATATATATATATATATATATATATATATATATATTCAGAAAATGAATAAAAAGATTCAAATTTTGTGTAAAAAATTGTAAAAGTATTATTGAAAGGTTAGTCCTGTTAAGAAAGATTACGGTGAACAAGTAATGATGTGTTTTTAGATGGAATAAGAGGTTCGAGTATTAGCGAGAATATGTGCACAATGCTGTAAAGTGTGGACAATCAACACAAAGAAAACATACAAATGTGAAAAATTTACAAATTTCGGTGTGCTAGGAATGGATTTCATAAAGGTTGGTGATGTAATAGAGTATTTTTGACGCCTGTTTATAGTTCGTAAAATTTTTATGGGCACCACCTTGAAGTCTTTTCAACGTAAAGAATTATGTTTTTTCTTTAATTAGGGTGGCATTTGTAAAAGCAAAGTTATGAGCAGTCTTGTTCCTAGCCAGTCTTGTTACTGTTTATTAATGGTACCAACTATAAACACCCGTCAAAATAACTATATTACATTAACAACCTTCATTAACTTCATTCTTAAGTAATCTAACGTATACTTTACTCCGGCCGATGTTGACGTAAAAACGACCACAAATCAACAACCTTCAAATCGAAATAATGCCTAATTCTACTACTACTACTGCTACTACTACTACTACTACTACACACACACACACACACACACACACATCTCTCTCTCTCTCTCTCTCTCTATATATATATATATATATATATATATATATATATATATAATTAATACACAATAAAATTAAAATTCATCTCATATGGAAAAATCTTATTTCAACCGACAAAAAATAAAATTTGTCAGTCTTACCGGCTTGAAAAAGACTGACGACTGACAAATTTTACTTTTTTGTCCGTTGAAATAAGTTTATTTCCCATATCAGGTGAATTTGAATTTTATTGTGTATTAATTTAATATATATATATATATATAGATATATATATATAGGCTTTAAGTCAACACCAAGAGGCAACAATCTGTTTCATGTTTTCATGAAACTGACTGCCGCCGCTGGGTTTTTGACGACAATGTCCAGTTTTCTATTTACATACACTCTATCTTTGATTAGTCTAGTACTCCTGCTATATATTTAAAGATTATTGATAAAATACTAAGAATAATCTGTATTATCTGGCATCTCGGCTTTAGTGATTTTCCTACCGCCGTAATGTATCTTCCCTATGCCTTTTCTATAAATATTTTCATGGCAAATGTTCTTGTGGGTTTTCCTCTATGGTACCCAGACTTTATGAATTTAAGCGCAGTACTAAATTAACAACAACGTCTCGTCAATTTACAATCGAAATTGATCGATGTAACCGTACGTTCTATGCTAACAGTTTCTTCTCTTGTATTTCTCGTTTGTTAAACTTTCTTCCGGATTCATGCTTTCCAATCAACTTTCACCTTCAAAAATGTTAATGCAATGACAATCGTTATCTACTGTAAATATATATATATTCAAGAAAATGATAAATTCTTTACAATGTAAAAATGCTTCCTGGTTTTAAAAACTCATATGTAGAAAACTTTCTCATAATAGTAAGGACGTAACAAAATATATTTTTTATCGCATATATAAACATCATTATTATCTCTCCAAATATTATTAACATCTAATTTTTTTTGCTTTAAATAACCTGCAAAAGATTGATAATCCGTAAAAACAGATCAATCAATCAAGTGTTTTGGCTGACGAAGACATTATTTGATTCTTCAATGTTATTTTGATGAAGATTTTGAGATATCAATTTGAACTCGAGTGTATCACAGAATTTCAATGTAATAATTTTATAATATATTGCTGGTATTAAAATATATATTTACACTTTTATAGTGTTTCGGCCCTAGTTTGGGCGTTAACTATTTACCCATAGCTGGGACCCTAACAGTGTGAGAGTGAACTTGGGAAGAACAAAAATTAAGAGGTGATTCCACGCTCCTCAAAACATCCCGATCAGAGGCCTTGCTGTTGGGCGTAGTTTATCGTCTTACCCGGGACGGCCCAACTTTGTATTAATGCACTATTCTATTAAACATAAAGTTGGAGTTTTATTTTACGCAGTAATAAACTGATCACCTTGAGAATTATTACATATTAATATTAGAACAGGAAAAAAATAAATTTAAAAATTCCACATATAGACAGCCTTCTAATAATAGCAAAGTCTTAACAAAATATGTTGTCAGATTTGACAGCATGCGAAAACTAATATATTATAAATTATTTTCTTTGCCTTTTTTTTGTACTCCGTCTTAACTTGCATCTATCTATCCACTTAATTTTCCGCATCTTCCATTTCCTACTCTCTAACCACTTCCTATGCTAATACTTGGCATTCTCTTATTTCCCTTTTGCTTCTACTTGCGTTCACCCCCTCACAGCTCTTTCCCATCCCCTCAAATCATTATCTGTCTATCTCCTCATCAACCGATACGAAAACTCGGCAAGCAATAACAAAATAATAAAATGCAAAAGAGATGTATTCCAGCATTTGCCGAAATAAAAACAAAAAAAAAAACGCAAGGCAAAGAGAAGTCTCGATAAAAAACGTACATATTGTATTGCAAAATAGCGATAAAATGGGGAAATCTCGAGAGGAAGACAAACTTTCACGAGAAGTTTCTTTTTTTTTGCGTGTTCGGCCCCTTTGTTGACTGACATAACGTTGAGTGATATGTCGGATATGTTTATTGGCTCTTGCTTTAGCTTGTATGATAATTCTTCATTTAGAGTTAAAGGATTTTAACTAGTATCTGATTTCTGTTAAAGAAAGTGCTTTGACTTTTTTTTTAAACCGGAAGTACTTTTAATCTTGTAAAAATTGTGGTTACTAAATTTACTCAGTTGGCGTGCGACGTGAAACCTCAAAGAGCTAGATTTGAAGCTTTTCCTGAAACACTCATTCCTTAGGTACATGTTTTTCTGTTATGAGATTAAACAGCTTTGTATATATATATATATATATATATATATATATATATATATATATATATATATATATATATATATATATATATATATATATGACAATTGGAAAAAAAAACTTAGATTTTGCCGACGCGTTTTGTCTTCCGACTTTTACAAAATGAAATCGAAATGTCTTTGTTGTTATAGTTACATTAAAAAATCCAAATTTAAAATGATAGACGCTTCTGTCTAAGCCTTTTTCTGGTTAATGTACATTTCTTTTATACTAATAGATTTTTTTTTAACATAAAAGAAATTTCGATTTTAATTTTTGCCTTGAAAAGTCGGGAGACGAAACGCGTTGGCAAAATCTAAGATTTTTTTTCCATCATCTTGCATCGTCTCTGGATTTTGACAAGGGCCCCGAGAAGTACAGCGGGAACTCCAGGCCATATATGACAGCAATATTCCATGCAATGACGTTGATTTACAGATTTAAAGGATGGACTCAGACGAGAAAAACTTTCTAGCACGACACAGAGAACTAACTTTCCCTTGCGGTAGATGAATTATTGATTCAATATATATATATATATATATATATATATATATATATATATATATATATATATATATATATGTATGTGTATGTATGTGTGTGTGTGTGTAAAAATATATAGAAAATGGGAAAGAACTCATTAGGTAAATAATCCAGAGTTCTTTCGTATTTTTTTATTATTTTAAAAATAGTGCTCGATACAAAAGTAGAATGTAGCGAATAATATTTTTGGAATAATATTTTTAAATAAATATATA